AAATATTTTTTTATTCCATTCTACATGTATTTTTTCACGCAGGTTAATATATTTATATTACCCAGCGGACTGTCATTCATTATATTTTTCTTTTTAACTCACTAAAGATTGATCTTTTATTAAACCCATCGCTTATTGATTTCTGTCTTGAAAATAAAGGCCTAAAAAGTAGAAACACCGAATCATGAGCTCGCGGCAACTCGAAGGGTGGCTCCAATAGCGGTGCGGTTGTATGATCCGAACCATCCTCCAACCCGCCCCGCCGGCACCACTCTTCCCGCGAACCGCTGCCGGGTAGCCATTTGCATATGAATAACCTTTGCGCGCGCGGAAGCCAAACCCGTTGTTCTCCGCAGTTACGGACGCGCTCGCCCCCCCTCCCTCAATCCCACCGGCCGCCCTCGCCGGGGTGAGCTCGTAGATTTTCAGCAAAAAGCGACGAGTACTTAAGAGCGCCGTTCAAAACCTTACTTAGGCAGTAATAATAAGCCACTTATTTGACAGCGGGAGGGCAAATTAGACAGATGGTTAGCCAGGGCTGGGAGGCTCGAGATGAGCGGCGCCCTGCTCGGCCAGCGTTATGGGGTCTGTCGGGGAGGGCTCGGGCTACGAGGCAGGGAAATTATGTAAAACTTAGTTACCACTCGCTGAGCGGGACCCCCTGGTGGGACAACGTTATAAAGTTTTGAAAAGCAGGGTGGCCTCGCGGCCATCATTTTCACTAATATGTCCGTAATCACTTCATCCATCACCCGGAGAACGAGGCATTCCCGCCCGCGGCGCAACTACATCTCCTTTTCTTCCTTCCTCCCCTGTCCTCCCCCCCCCCGCCCACACCTTCCCGCAGTGCCGGCCCCCTGGCACCCCGGCCCTTCCCTCCGCGTAGGCTATTCATGTAAGATCCAGGGGCACGGGGGGACGCGCGGAAGTGGACGCCGGCCCGCGCTCCCCGCTCTCGCGCCGCGCGCACAAAATTGAAATCTGAAACCGCGAGCGCGCGGGCGGGCTGGCGGGCGAGCGAGCGGGCCTCTCGCCCCCATTCATCAGGCGCTTTGTCTGCGGCGCGCGTGAGCCCCGTGTGTTATGTACTTTGCTTTAATGAGCTTGGGCTTCCGCGGGCCGGGCCGAGCCGGGCTGAGCGGCGGCGGGGGCGGCGGCGGTGGCGGATAGGCGACGCGGGCCTAATCACGCCCGTCAGCTCTCGAAGCTTCTGCGAGCGCGCGTTTACGGCCGAGAGCGATGAGCGATCGTCGGTCGTGAGCCGGCGGGACCCGGGTTCAACACCCCGGCGCGGGTGAGAGCCCAGCGGAGTCTGCCGTGGGGTTCCTCAAGGGTTAAAAGATGGGCGGCTGGTAGCGACGGTCGGAGGCTTGTACGGATAGAATTCTACCACGGTTTTAAGTGGCGTCTTTTGAAGGGAGCGTGTTCCTCGATCGGTGGCGAGAAAGCTAACTTCAGAAATATGTGTCTTCGATTCAATGGTCAAGCTTGAAAAAAATTATTCGGATTAATTTTTCCGTAGTCAGAAGTTGAATAGAAAATAAAATAAGATGTAATAGTGTTTAAATATTTTACGACTGAAGTGTAGATCCTTCTTTCGTAAAACTTTCCTTTGTCATTTTCATTTTATAATCGACTTTTATTGCTCTGCTGTGCAATTTACGAGATCTCTCTTTCTCTCTCTGTGACGAATACTTTACACATTATATGCATATATTGCTAAAATATATTTTTGAATCAATAAATAATGAATTATTTGCCGTGTTCTTTCCTGTTAAATATTATGTGTTCAAGTACGTGTCTGAGTCTATGTGTTATATACTTGTAAATGAGCTCTTCACATTGATTTGCGTTAACGCTAGCTTGATTCACTATATGCTAATGGCAGGTGCCATCTGTGTTTTTTTAAGTAAGGTACAAGTAGTATTAGATCTGTAGTATTGCGTGTTGAGTGTGTAGCGATGTGCGTACGCGAGAGCGGTGGAGTAACGCCGAGTGCTTTGCGTGTGCGCAGGTGAACCGGCCGCTGACGATGAAGAAGGAGGGCATCCAGACGCGCAACCGCAAGCTGTCCTCCAAGTCGAAGAAGAAGAAGGGCGGCGGGCCGTGCCTGTCGCTGGGCGGCGTCATGTCCGACATGATGAAGCCGCTCGACCCCACGGGCAAGATGGGCGGCGCGGGCTTCGGCGGCGCGGCGGGCTTCGGGGCTCCGATGGGCGCGGGCGGCAACGCGGCCGCGGTGCACCCGCACCTCAACACGGCCGCGCTGCACCCGCACCACGCCGCCATGTCGCACTACATGTACCACAACAGCACCACCATCAACATGCACCACCACCACCACCACCAGGGCTTCATGAACCCCGGCGCGCCGGGCCCCGTGGCGCCCGGCCCGCCCCCGCACTCGGGCATGCACCCGCACCACATGTCGTCGCTGTCGGCGCTCGGCTCCGGCGGCCTGGGGCTCGGCGCCGCCTCCAACGGCATGGTGAGCAACCCTTTGCTTGGCGGCGCTCTGGCGTTTGCCTAATATTCGGACTCCTCGGAGTCCGCTAATGAAAGTGGAGGTGTAGATTAGCGTCCCTTATCTTGTAATTGTATTGGTTTTCTCGCCTTAATAAGTAATAGTTAATAAATGGACCCTAAAATACGTCTGTTACTAATGTCAGAAAACCAATGCAATGAAACAACATCAGTGCACAGAAAAGTGATATATGTTTAAAATCTTCATTTTTGCTAGAGAGAACGATTATTTTAGAAGATAATAAATTTTTACTAATAAGTATAGTGCGTAAAAAACGGTTTTGCGCAAATTGAAACCGTTCTCCTGCAAAGTGATATTTTATTAATATTTGCCACTTCGTCTGTGCCCAGATGATACGTTTGTACCTCCAAATAGCTACTATTATGATACAGTCGTATTTCTTTCTGCGTTAATTTGTAGAATTTGTACTACTTACTTTGTATTAGTATATTATTTGTTTCTGTAATAATTTCCTGAATTAAAATCCTGCAATCCACACACGGATTTGAGCTGTGGGGAGTTACGGATACTCGAACGTCCCAGTGACATAGCCAGCAAATTGCAAAGGATTAGAGGACCTTTCTAGTTCAAGAAATGTTATTGTGAGAGGCACTACATCCCTCTCCCAAATAAACGAATATGGTTGGCATCGTCTCCATCCAGTTTTTGTCCAAAACAGTTATTTGTAGTTCTTAAAAATAATTTGGTTTTTAGTTTTTATTGAAGCAGTATTTCTAGTATTTCAAAAGAAATACATTTAAATTCATCTTAAATTGGAAAAAGAATATTCAGTTGGAGAGATTTTCCGTTGTTAATTTAAAATATGATCGGTAAACGACAGTACGACGTAGAGAAAGCAAGATCCTGAAAATACTCTGGATTACAGATTAAAAATGTAATACATAAAAAATTAGGTTTTCTCTTTTAATGAAACAAATATAGAAATGAATAGGAAATATATTTTCTGCTTAGGAAATATTTCAATCTAATAAATGATTTTATTGTATTCAAAATATTAAAGACGCTCCTTAAAGATTGCACATTGCTTTAACGATTCTCTCATGCAAAGAGCTTATTATTTTATCAAACCAAAATATATTTTAAAGAAATAATGTTGATGTTCAATACTATTCAATACCATGTATAAAAATTTCAACTTAATGCTAGATACAGCCAAAATTAGTATGTGATGAATTACTTCAATTTCAATTTCTACTCTATTTCCCATGAAATAGTTTCACCGTTTTTGTACGTCCAAAACGTATTAAATGGCTTTAAATATCAATATTTAAATCGCTTTTGATGAATCAATAAAATCACTTGCTTGGAATTCATTGCAAAAATTTTCAGGAATGAAAAAAGAAATTTGTTATATAATCTAGAGAGCGGTGGAACTCAATAAAACTGAATTACCGTGTACTTATGTGTATTGTTATTATTATTATTATTATTATTATTATTATTATTATTATTAAAAAAGACTTTAGGTATACATTTTACAAATATCGAATTATGTTAGTTAAATGCTATAAAAAGTCACAAAAGAATGCTATAATTACGCTGGCTGCGTTTTGCGATATGCCAGGTACTGAACTTAATAAAACCATGTCCCCGTAGAAAAGTAAAATAATTATCAGCAGAAAAAGTGATCTAAAAATCTTGAATACATTAAATTCTAATTATACTTGTAAAGTCAATCGCTAGTATAAAAGCATAGAATTTTTTACTGTGTAGTATAGAATTTGCATTCCCATATGGAGTTCTGTGGTCTTCAATATCACAGAGTCGTTGCTGCATAAGTTCGCATTTCATTGTTGCGGCAGCGCGGTGCGGAGCGGCAAGAGGCATTAGAGCTGGCGACTCACGTTGTTTCTCAGAGCATACTGACAGTTACCGTCTCATTTACTATTTAATTTGCTCGCTCTTTCATTAGCCTGGCGCCCCTTGCGCGTGCTTCTGGAACTCCGGGCCGGGTCCCGCGGGAATGCCTTCTGGAAAGCTTGGCGGAAATCGCAGGGTTCTCACTTAGAAAAGTTTCGTCCATTAATAATTAACAATTTGGGAGGTAGTAAAAGAAGCACTTCGATCATAATTCGTGTCAGACTGCTTCAGTTGAGTGGTAATTGTACTGTGAATATGAAGGAGAAAAATTGTTTCCGTAGCGCAACCAGAAAGTCAAGATACTACAGTGTCTTAGTTGTTTACGTAACATCAAAATGGTGTAAACATATCTGAAATGCAAACATTTAATAAACGAAAAAAAATGTTTTAGTCGTTATTTTAGAATTAGTTCATGAAATGTGTCTTGAGGTTTTCATGTGCAACATCAGGTTTAAAAGTCTGGGAATAAAATTTCTAGCTTAGATTGTATTAATTTTTTTAAGAAAATCAGCCCAGTACTGAAGTGGTGTGAGTGGTTTTATATTTAATAGAAATTTAAAATCAAGCAACGATAATGTTTAAAATTAAAAAAAAGAACTCGGTAAGTTAGGCGTAAAGTTGTTTTCTGATCGTCTTGAATTTGATTGACGGAGTACTACAGATCAAATAATCAAGTGCTCTCGTTCAAAACAAATTACAAACGTCAAAAATTACCAAGCTAATCTCTGAAGCCTTCTCTTGGAAACCTAATGACCCGGTTAGAGAGGAAAATCCACGACGGCCTCATCGTCACCGTCGACTGCAAGGGGAAAAGCCCATAACGGCGATGGCTCTATGAGCAACTAATCCGATGCACTCGTTAAAAACAAAATTAAATTTCCGAAACTTTAAAAAATATTTTCATACGTGATGTGGGCTAAAAATTCATCATCCCCTTTGGTTGCCAGCGTAAACATACCAGGAGGAAACATCGAAAAGCTTATGGGGAACTAGTCCAAAGCACTCGTTAAAAAATTAAATGTTCATAACATTCAAAAATGTACACATTCAGCTCTTAAAATTTTGCGATCTGAGTCAAGATGGAAATCTGTCGTCACCACCCGATTCAGGGGAGAAAGCTTGCAACGATGATGAACAAAATTAAATTTCAAAAACTTTCAATATTCTCTACATTTAGCTCTTAAAACCATGCGACCTGACATGGGCTGGACATCCGTCTTCACCACCAGTTTCAATGGAAAACGCCCGCACCGATGAACGAAATTGAAGGTTCAAAACTTTCAAATATCTCCACATTGCGCTTTTAAAACCTTTGTGGTCTGATTGGCTAGAAATCACCGTCGCCGTGAGGCTTCTAGGGAAAGCGCCCGCAGCAGCAATGGCGTGGGCGGTGGGTGGCGGGGGGAGGGGAGGGCGCGTTTCGCGCGATATGCTAATGGCGCCTGCGCCTCCGCCTGGCGGGCGTCGCGGTCACGCGTGGCGCCCGCCACTTAATTTATTAACGGGGCGCCGTTAATTAAGCGCGGAAGTGCGGCGCAAATTGTTTTTTTTTTAAGGGCCGCGCCGCATTAATTAGCGAGGGTCGCTTCTTACCCTAGGAATGCTCCTCGTTAGGGGCCCCGTGGCCCCGCCTCCCCTTCAGGCTCCCTCCCCCCTTCACAGTCCCCTTGATCACGGGGGGGGGCGGGGGGGGTTTAGGAAATGTCCGCTGAATTAATATTGTTGTACGGAGCAATTTAACAAAATGAGAAGTCGGAGAAAGAAAATAGTGAAAAGAAATGCAGCATCACTTCGATTGCAGGAATTTCCAGAGAATAAATTCGAGCTCTTTGATAATTTGTTGAATCGCAGTTGCAGATCTCTGAAACCATTATGAAACTGAAGAGAGAATCAGTGGGAATTTTATATTAAGTAATTGTAATGATGAATTGATCGAGCACATATTTCCGGTAAAAACTATGTTGATTATTTCATGGAAAAATAGTTCTCAGAACATCTTATAATTTTTTAAGTTAAAAAAAAACATATTTAAAGATTTTACATGTTAAAAAGAAAATCTCTGCTGCAATTATGAGAAAATGTCTGATATTTTCCCACGTCCGAAAATCAAGCCAATAGGCACCAGAGCGGCAAACAGAGGTTCCAGAGGCTTGAAAGGCTTGGAAAATTTCTAACTTCTAGTGGCTGCCTGTCGTAAAGTTGGCAGGTACCACGCTCTGACATCATTACCTTTTCGTAGGAGCGTTCCGGTTTTCGTTTTATTTCTCAGATTGAGTTCTCAGAACTAAAATTAAAGGGAATTTTCCCTTAAAAAAACGGGAAATGTAGCACGATCGGTTTGAGAAGTATGAATCTTATTTTTCTGCAACTGTCTTCAACTTTCCAAGATGTTTTAAGAGTTAAAGTATCTGGTACAGCTCGTTTCTAAACGTAAACATATGAATTTTAGGTACTGGAAATTGTTGCTACTGTGACAAAACATTTATACTGTTCGTAATAGCGTTCCATGTTGATTTTTCATGAGATGTGGAACGTATATGAGACTAAAAATAAATTAGGGTTTAATTATATGTTTTGTATGGTTGTATGATGGCGTAAAAGCAGGTATATGCAGACTCAGTTGGACGTTATATGACGCTGCGTTTTTGTGTTTTGTAGACGAGCTGGCGCTACCGAGTACACGTGAGAACTTGCGACTAGCAGACTACGAGGACGCCCTCCTAGACGCCATAGTGATGGCGGCGCCACGGCGGAGGCGGGTGCGGAGGCGTGAGCCCTGGGCGGGGAGCGACGCCCTCCCCCTCCCCACCGCCCCCCATCCCTGCCAGCCCCGCCTCCGCCACGGCCAGCGTCGCCCAGACCCGCGCGCACAATCGCATGCGACTGACAGCCTGGGGTCGTTGCGCGCCCGCGCGCCCAGCCGCGCCGGCCTGCGACCGGACGTGGGACCGCTCCCGCCTCTGCCCGTCCCGCCAGCCCCGCCGACTCGCCTCGCCCCGCCGCGCCACGCCGCGCCGCGCGCCCGGCCGGCCAGGAGCCTGCTAGTCTGTACGCCGTGCTGCGGCCCGAGGCCGGCGCCTCGGCCTCGTCGTGTATCATAGACGCAAGTACAAAGGAAGAAACCG